CTAGTCCCTTGTTTTAAATATGAGGTGCACTGTTACTAGAGGTGTTGGTGTACAGTTTTATCTGATTGTTCTGTTTAAGACTAATTTTTATATAGAATTTTCGCAGTTTAAATGTTTTAAATAATGGTGCTTCAATTTTGGGTGGTTATGAATAAATTTGGATTCTGCTTTTAATAGCAAAGATGTACAGTGAACTAGAATATATTTTTACATCCCTGAGATTCCTTTACTAGTAGAAAATTCAAAATATCCTTCTGATGAACACGATCCTCCTCTAGCTCTGAAATAATGACATAGAAGAGCATTCAGGAGCTTCTAACTAGTTTTTGTCTTTGTTTTAAATCCTGTATCAAGATTTCTTTTAACCTGGTCTTGTCAGATTATAAATGTATTCATTTCTGTGTGTGGGGTGTGTAATACATATAATAAGGATTTATTTTTAAAACGGATCCTTAAGCAGCTGATTTCCCCCTCTCCCCCTCCCCCCCAGGTAATTTGATAGCATGTTTCTCTGTATGGCCAGCTTTGGCGACTGTGTAAAAGTATTATCTCCAGCTACATGTATCATAGCAGTTCTTTGTGGTTTATAGTTTTCAAATATTGCTGTCCGTTTGTAGGTAGCGAAACCAAGTTGATTGGGTTAAATGACTTATGCAAGGTCACATGGCTTCATGTTGCTAAAGATAGCCCGCGGAACCTGGGTCTCTGCCTCTTGGTCCAGTGCCTCACGACTATGCCACTGTACTCATCCTGACAGGCATGGCGAACTGTCACAGAATTTACTACAGTACCCTCCACCAAGCTTTGGAAAGTGATGAAACCACCACCTCAGAGGTGCTCTTTGTGTGATCATTATAGGAGCACAGAGCCGTCCTAGCTTACTAGCTGCTCCTAGAGATTGCAGCAGGAGTTGAATGGGTTATTCTGGCTCTGTCAGGGTTAAGATGAAATGCGAAAGATCGAGCCTGGCTTTGTGTAGTTTGACAAGTTTGTGGTTTTAAGAGTAAAGGATTTAAAGTGCTAGTTTACCATATTCTGTTACTCGGTATCAAGAACAGAAAACTATTGCTAAACTATTACGGCAATAAATTATTAAGGAATTAAAATGCCAGATTTGTTCTGCCTCATCTAGAATCAGTAGCCAACTTACTTCAGTGAGGTAAAGTAAATGAGTTCATGAAAAGTCATCATCTTCATGATTCTGTGGACACTTAGATGTATTTCATGATTGAAGTTCTGTAGAGTTTGAGGGAGAGGCCTGGCTCTTAGTGTGGCCATGACTAAGGTCTGGTTTAAGTTGGAGATCAAGTTGGATTGCCCTCAACACCCAGAATTCATTCAGGCTCAAGAGGAAATGATTCTTACCTAATTCATAAGAACCTAATACAGAGGCTATGTGCTAATTGAATTTACTATGAGAAATACACATTTCTACCTTGAGGGCCAAACAGTTGTCAGATGGTCTGTGTGTATTTTCTCTGTGATAAGCCTTTCAGGGGCGCCAGATTCTGTTACTCAGAAGATCACTTAATAAGAGTGGAATGGGATCAGAGCAATCAGGTTTTTTAAAATTTTTATTTTGGGTAACTTAAGACTTACATAAAAGTAGAACAGTATAATTAGCCTCTATTAAAACTCACCACTAGTAAGACTCAATGGCCAGTCTTATATGTGTATGTGCATGTGTGTATGTATCCCCTGCCTCCTATCATTTTCAAGCAAGTCTCAGACATACTGTTTAGTCTGTAAATATTTCAGCATGTATTTCTAAAAGTTAAGAAATTAAACAAACTCATTAACAAAAATAAATGGGATAAACTTCTAATTGGCCAGAGTTCTCAACTGTAGTACTGGTCTGGTAGCTTACTTGCCATTGTGTGTCTCAAGAGGACCAAGTAATGCGTCTGCTGCTCTGGCATCCTCCCCTCTGCGTATAGGAAGACTGTAGCATCGCCTCCCATTTTAAGACATTTTTCCTTCAAACAGATCACAGTATATTTACAGTTGACCCTGGAACGAGGGAGGTTAGGAGTACCGCCTCTCCCACCCCATTCAGTCAAATCCACATGTACTTGACTTTCCCAAAACGAATAGCGTACTGTTGACCAGACGCCTTACCTATATAACATAGTCGATTAATATGTATTTTGTATGTGAATTACATAATGCATGCTTACAGTAAAGTAAGCTAGAGAAAAAGTGTTAAAATCATAAGGAAGAGAGAATACATTTAGAATACTAGGCTATAGAAAAACCATATATAAGTGGACCTATGCAGTTCAAATTCATGTTCAAGGGTCAACTGTATTTTTCAGTTTGGATTAAAATCCATCTCTTGCCTTCTTGAGGTTATGAGCTAGTATTTCAGCTTAGGTATTTATCTCCCCTCCTTATACATTACACTTGTAGGCAGTCGGTCTGGTTTCTTCTATATATATATATATATATATATATGTGTGTATATATATATATATATATATATACACACACACACACACACACACACACACACATATAGTTAGTATATGTATATATACATATATATATAGTTAGTGCCACAGAGGACAAACCACCCTGTTTCCAAGGTCTGAGAAAACTTGGACTACATACAGGTTGTTAGCCGCCTCTAGAGATGTTACGACGGAACAATTTAGGGTCGGAGTTTTTTGAGCTTGCCTTCATGCCGTGCTTTTAAAAATGCATCTTAGATGGGCTGTGTGGATAATTTTAAACATTACTCTAAAGTGCATGAAACAAGGAAAACACTTGAGAATTTATTGTGTATATTTTCTGTGGGATGGGACTTCGTTCAGGGCTGATTTTCAAGTGAGTTCAGACTGATTTTTAGTTGTTTATGAAAGAACCCCAGGTGACTACTTTTAAAGAATTTTATGTTATAATTGTAATGCCTGTACATGGTTCAAAAAACAACAGTAGAAGTGTTAAGTGGTCTCTCTCTCTTTCCTGTCCCTCTGTTCTTCCTCTCCAGGAGCTACTGTTAACAGTTATTCTTTCTGGAGGGAGGTGGGTGGTGGGGGATATAAGCATATATGTATAGACCTTTTTTTATATATGAAGTACACCATATGTTCTGAATCTTGCTGTTTTCACTCCGTATATTTAGAAACATTTGAGATTTAGGAGACCGCCCTTTTAAGTTTTAACATGTAGTTTTTAAAAATACATTTCAAGTAAACCAAAGCAGAGAAGTCAATGTGTTATTCATTGTTGTATCAGATTTTTAAATTTCCTACTTTGAAATGCAGTTTGAGAGTCATAGTTGATCTGTTTCTTCTCAGCCCTCCCAAGTAGCTCAGTTGTCAACAGCAACAGATAGAAGAACTTTTAGGAACAACAGCTTTGGGAAGTAGTTTGGCTTAAGTGACTGTGCCCTAACCTCTCTGTGGCTATTCCGCTCCTAGATACATACCCTAGCGAAACTTTTACACGTGTGTGTCAGGACTTGGATGTGAAAATGTCATAACAGCACTGTTTGTAATAGGAAGAAAAGGGAAACAAAAACAAACTGGAAAGACCCTGCCTGTCTTTGAGCAGTCCACTGGATAGATTCCATGGCCCATTCCTACAGTGGAATTGCACGGAAGTCAGACTGAGCTGCAGCTACACGTGTGAACACGGATGGATCTTGGTGGTTGGAAAAGCAAGTTGCAGAAGAATACATCCGCTGTGGTTCCATTTCCGTGAAGGTCAGAGTCCAGCTGTTAAATCTGTGGTAAATGAAAGAAAAGCAAGGGAATGATAACATGAAATTCAGTGTTACTCTTGCATCGGAGGGACGGAGGGAGAGGAGACCGTGGAGGGCATGGAACAGCCTTCAGAGGAACTGCTGACGATGCTTTGTTGCTAAAGCTGGATGGGCGGTTTCTTTTTTAAACTGTATGTTCATGTGCTTTTGTATGTATGCTATTTCTTAATAAAATTTAAATTTAAAAAATGGGAAAAGGTCTTGGTGTAGGTAGTAACTAATAAAATAGAAATATAAGCATACCCATATTTTAAAAACTTACCCTCTCCTAGTGACTGACAGGTGTAAAAGGTATGGTTTCTTGAGCGCAAAATTTGGGGCTTTAATTGTTCTTTAAAAGCTAGAAGCAGGGCCTAAGTGTAGGTCTTCTTTGTGATCACTTTTTTTTTAAGGTTTTATTTATTTGACAGAGATCACAAGTAGGCAGATAGGCATGGGGTGGGGTTGGGGGGGGGGAAGCAGACTCCCTGCTGAACAAAGAGCCTGATGCGGGGCTCGATCCCAGGACCCTGAGATCATGACCCAAGCCGAAGGCAGAGGCTTAACCCACTGAGCCACCCGGGCGCCCTGTGAGATCACTTATTTTTATCTTTACATACTTTTAATTTGGTATTTGGGTGTCAGCCAGGGAGCTGCTGCTTTTGTGCTGCTCTGTTTCTTGAAGATTCACGCCCTTCCAGGAAGGGAACTGCTGGATGAGAAGAGCAGTACTCCTGGCCGGTGGTCAGCACATCCTATACCTGTTCAAATTAGATTGTCAGATCAGAGGGGCTGTTCCATTTTGGCCTTGTTCTGCTCTTAATGAGGGACACCATGAAATATTAGATATTCACTCTTTAAAAGGGAAGTGATTGGGGGCACCTGCGTGGCTCAGTGGGTTAAAGCCTCTGCCTTTGGCTCACGTCATGATCTCAGGGTCCTGGGATTGTGCCCCTCGTCGGGCTCTCTGCTCAGTAGGGAGCCTGCCTCCCCCTCTCTGTCTGCCTGCCTCTCTGCCTACTTGTGATCTCTGTCAAATAAAATCTTAAAAAAGGGGGAAGTGATTGGAAGTAGAAATGTACTTGCAAGTGCATAAAAATCACCTCTCTCCGCAGTGGACCTCTTGATCTCCACGTGTGGCCCCCAGTGGGAGCTTAGGGCTTCCCCCACCCACTTTCTTTGCAGCCCTGAGTGCTGGTGTGCCAGCTGCTGTTCTGATAATATGGGATAGGTCAGTGAGCAAAATAGGAACACC